AAGGTGGCCTACATAGTCACCTGGGAAGACTTGGCCTGGAACCCTACACCATGGGCACAGCCATTCCTACCTCCTAGGGGAACTGGAGAGACAGACCAGGGGCCTCCTACTTCTTCCCTCCTGCCCCTTCAGTCTGCCCCTGAGAAGAAGCAAAAGCCAGTCCTCCCTGAGGACCAAGCCTCCCTAACCCTCCTTGATCCTCCACCTCCCTATCCACCTGCGCAGGCACCTCCACCCCAAGAACTACCTTATCCCTCTCCTGATTCCACTGAACCTGACAGATCCCCTCCTCTATCTAACAGTCTCTGCTTAAGGAGGGATAGAGGGGTGCCCTCTGATGGAACCTGGACTGCCCAGGTTTTTCCCCTCCGAACTATAGGGGATCAGATCTAGTACTGGCCTTTCTCAGCCTCTGACTTGTATAATTGGAAGACTCATAACCCCTCTTTTTCTCAGGATCCTCAGGCTCTAACTGCTTTAATAGAGTCTATTCTCCTCACCCACCAACCCACCTGGGAGGATTGTGAGCAACTCCTCCAGGCCCTTCTAACCACAGAAGAAAGACAGCGAGTCATCCTGGAAGTCAGGAAAAATGTCCCCGGGCAGGAGGGGAGACCCACTCTGCTCCCAAATAAAATAGATGCAGGATTTCCTCTGACTAGACTCAACTGGGACCCTGACACCGTGGCCGGTAGGGAGCGTCTCCATCTTTATCACCAGACTCTGTTAGCGGCTCTCAAAGGGGCCAGAAGGCTTCCAACTAATTTGGCAAAGGTACATGCTATAACCCAAGGAGAAAATGAAACCCCCGCAGGGTTTCTAGGATGCTTGATAGAGGGATATCGGATATACACCCCTTTTGATCCCACAGCCCAGGAGCGTCAGGCAGATCTTATTATGGCCTTGCATACAACCAGCCTCAAATAGTGGTTACACTAAAACCATCTGTAACTCCGGTTTCAATCAAACAATACCCTATGAGCAAAGAGACCCGAGAGGGAATCAGGCCTCACATCCAAAGACTTTTACAAATGGGCATACTTCACCCTTGCCAATCCCCTTGGAACACCCCACTGCTCCCCATGAAAAAGCCAGGGACAGATGATTATAGACCAGTTCAAGACTTAAGAAAAGTCAATCAGAGGATAGAAGATATCCATCCCACTGTTCCTAATCCCTATAATCTTCTGAGTTCTTTACCTCCTAGTCATAGGTGGTATATTGTACTTGACCTGAAGGATGCGTTCTTCTGCTGAGCCCTGAGCCTGGTTAGCCAGCCCATCTTCGCTTTTGAATGGAAGGACCCTGAAGCTAGAATATTGGGACAACTAACCTGGACGCGACTTCCCCAAGGATTCAAGAACTCCCTTACTCTGTTGGATGAAGCTCTACATCATGACCTGGCTGACTTCCGGGTAAGAAACCCACAGATTATGCTCCTCCAGTATGTAGATGACCTCCTCTTAGCGGCTGAGACGGAAGCAAGCTGTTTGCAAGGTATGGAGGCTCTCCTATTGAGACTGGGGGAACTTGGATACCGAGCCTCAACAAAGAAGGCCCAAATCTGCCTACAGCAGGTAAACTATTTGGGCTGCCGGCTAGAGGGAGGACAACGATGGCTAACGGGAAGTAGAAAACAGGCGGTAGCCTCTATTCCCCCACCAACTTCAGCCAGAGGACTCAGAGAGTTCTTGGGAAGCACAGGATTCTGTAGACTATGGATACCGGGCTTCGCCGAGATAGCGGCTCCTCTATACCCTTTAACAAAGAATGGGACTCCTTTCGTCTGGGCTGATGAACACCAGAGAGCTTTTGACAAAATAAAAAGAGTTTTTTTACGAAACTGGACAATGTGGCCGCTGGCTTGCCCCCATGCTTGAGGATTATGGCGGCAATAGCATCCCTGGTAAAAGACTCAGACAAACTCACTATGGGTCAGCCCCTGACTGTTATAACACCACATGCAGTGGAGTCTGTCATTAGACAGCCTCCTGATAGATGGTTGTCAAATGCCGGAGTGACCCATTACCAGGCACTATTATTAAATCCAGAAAAAAATCAAGTTTGGTAGCCCTGCCACTTCAAACCCCGCCACGTTGCTACCAACCCCCCGGAAAGACACTGAGATTCCCCATGATTGTCAGCAAATACTTGCGGAGACGCATGGGACTAAGGAAGACCTCACTGACCAGCCCCTAACAGATGCAGATGCCACCTGGTATACGGATGGGAGCAGTTTTCTGCGAGACGACACTTTCTCAGGGTGGGTTAAAGCTTTCCCCACCCGGAAGGAGACAGCCCAGACTGTGGTAAAGAAACTGATTGAAAACATCTTCCCTCGATTCGGATTGCCTAAGGTAATTGGGTCTGATAATGGCCCAGCCTTCGTCTCCCAGGTAAGTCAGGGAACGGCCAAAAGCACTGGGGATTAATTGAAAACTGCATTGTGCTTACAGACCCCAGAGTTCAGGACAGGTAGACAAAATAGATAAAACTATTAAAAAGACCTTGATCAAATTAGCTTTAGAGACTGGCATTAAAGACTGGGTGCACCTCCTACTTCTAGCTCTATTTCGAGCTAAAAATACTCCTGCTATACATGGTCTAACCCCCTACAAAACTCTTTTTGGAGGGCCACCTCCTGTTCTCAATGTAACTTTGTCCCCCTTGCCCTCTTCCTTTGATAACCCCAGCTTAAAAACAAGACTCTTAAATCACGATGGAAAGGACCCTACACGGTTCTCCTGACTATGCCCACAACCCTCAAAGTCCTGAACACATAGACAATTCTGACTGGGAATTAGACGACTCCGACTGGGAATTAGTCGCTATCATCGTCATCTCTGTAGCCTTGATCATCCTTGTTGCCATCATCACATTGGTACTCACTGACCTTGCTTAAAGCTGTAACATAACTTACAATGTAGCTGATTCTACTTCTCGAAGAGATCTGCCTGCTCCTGACAGCGAGATGTCTGCCGGTTTATTCAACTCCACGGTACAATCCTCATGTGCCTATGCAGCTGACATGGATGGTGACAAATCCTGAGACGGGCCGTACACTTCGGCTCGCCTACCTTAAACATTCCACTCCTAAACTTTTCTGCAGCCAGTCAGACTAAAATTAGCCATCCAGATGCTATGAGTAACAACAGTCATTTTTGTTCCTTAATCTCACTAGACCTAAAACCACTCGAACTTGTTGGTCCTGCTATGATGCTTCCAGAAAACCCATAGATTTTATGATTAAAATCTTGCCATAAAAAAAGGGGGAATGATGAAATCAAACTAAAGCCCCCCCAGGTCAAAGTAGATTCAAACCAAGTCCCCCCAGATCAAAAGGGAAATATTCTGGGAAAGGAAGTAAGATGTAAAATCTAACTGCTGAGAAAAAGCTGACCTTTTCATGCTCCGTACACAAGCCAGACATCACCCAAAACTCCCCCCCCCCTCACTGCTGCCGGTTGCTGCCGGCTCCCTCCCACTACTGCCAGTTGCTGCCGGGCCCCCTCCCACTGCTGCCAGTTGTAGTTTAGGTTTTTGCCTTTAAAAGAAGCCTGTAAGCTGAGCTCTGGGCTGCTGCTCTCTCTCTCTCCGAGTGAGGCAGAAGCCCGTCTGCGCAAACGATTAAATCCTCTTGCTTGTTGCATCTCCTGGTCTGAGGACTGAGTTATTGGGGTGCGGCCTCCCATGGACATTGGATACCCCAGCCTGGGGGTCCTACATGAGTAGACATTTTATATTTTTGCATATAAAATTTATTTTTTTATAGTTTTACAGTTCTGTGTGTGGTGCTTTTTGTTTCAGGCCAAGATAATGGATACTGATGTCTTACTCGTTTCTTTCAATATTTATTCCACATTTATGGTTTATTTATATTAAGGAATTGTGTTAGATTCTTTTGCATGCAGAGGACAGAAAGCTTACTCAACTTGTAGGTGGTATGGCAGCAGATGTATTTCTTTTGTTTGTTTGTTTTGGACAGGGTCTCCCTGTACCCCCAGCTGGTGTTGAACTCACTGTGTAGACCAGGCTGGCCTTGAACTCACAGAGATCCGCCTGCTTCTGCCTGCTGAGTGCTGGGATTAATGGCCTGTGTCAGTATGCCCGGCTACACAGGCATTCTTAACTGACCACAGCATTCTCCTTTTCCTTCCTGCCTGTATTGCTTCATATAGCTTTCTCTTTCTGTTTTTGCTTTAAATGCCACCTTTTTTTTTTGGTCTTTTTGAGACAGGTTCTCCCTGTAGCCACAGCTGTCCTGGAACTCACTATGTAGACCAGGCTGGCCTTGAACTCACAGAGATCCCCCTGCCTCTGCCTCCCTAGTGCTGGGATTAAAGGTGTGCACCACCACCCCCAGCTAAATGCCACCTTCTTAAAGAGGTCTTTTCTGGCCTCTTTATCCACGGTATTTTCCCTCTGTTTTTTCCTCATACTATATCAGTGCTTTGATTATTCTGTTTTCATATTTATATAAACTTTACAAAGGTTACAGAAATCACGTACACCCTATCTCTGTTGCCTAATGGCATTATAGACATTAGACACGGAAATATCTGTAAAATAAGAAAATACATTTATTAACTCCGTTGATACAATACAGAAGTATTCATTTGCAGAGGATCCAATTTAGCAGATTATTATAGCTAAGATTGCAGGCTAAAAAAGAAAAATGGAGAATTGATGACGTCTCAGAAACAGAGGTCCTGTATGCACATTTACGTATCAGCTATTTTCTGTCAGCATTTTCAGTAGGTAAAACTGATTGCAGACAGTGCGGAATGCTGAATTAAATCAAATCTGGAACTGGTCTCAATACAAAGACACCCCCCCACCCCCCACCCCCGTCTCCGTCCCGTCCCCGTCCTGGTGGTCCCCGGGTCCCAGTCCCCGTCCCGCGTCCCCACAGTAGATGACTGAACTACAATTCCCAGCAGCCTTGCGCGAGCCTGCCCCTGGGGAGGTGACGCAGTAGGGGGGCTGTCCTTCGACCCCGCCCGGCGTCTCTCCGCCGCCCTTCCCCAGGGTTGTGGCCACGCACAGCGGCGGCGGTTGTTCCGCTTCCCCTCCGGCCCGGGCGGTCGCCATTGCCGAAGGCTCCTGCCCTCCCCTCCCTGGCCCGTGGGGCTCTGTCGCCGTCCGGGTTCAGTAGTTGCGGCCGCGCCCGGCGCCGCTCCTCCTCCCACCCAGCCGCCCTGCCCTGCCCTCGGTTCCTCTCCTCTCGCCTCCCTAGGGCGGCTCCGCTGTCAGCCCAGCACGGACCGAGGCGCCTGGCTGGGCGCAGACCTTCCCTCACTGGTAAGTGCGGACCGACGCACTCCGGGCGGGCCGCCGCCCTCCTCCCGCCTCCGCGGCCTGGCGGGCCGAGCGGCCGGAATGGCGAGCCTCGGCGCAGGCCGGGAAGCCCACACCTGCCGGCCGGGGTCGCGGCTCCCCGGGCGGTGGCTCATTGTCTGCTCCCCGAAAGTGGGAAGCTTGCTGGTTTGCAGGGACTCGCTCTTCCTGGCCCTGGCCCTGCCCTGCCCGGCGGCCGAGTTCTGCTCCAGGCTGCGCGCTCGCGCGGTTCTTCGTCCACGCTGGACCCGACCTCGGGTTTTGTTCTTGATTTTCCCTCTTCCACTTTCTCGACCCCTCGGTGACTAGCTCTGTTCGCAGCATTCGATTGCTCGGGAGTACTGTCCCGAGTGCCCTAGCTCCGGTCCGCAAGCCCTTCCTCACACTCCTCAGCGGGAGAAGCAGTTTTCCTGGGGCTTGAGGGGCTCCTCTTAAGAATAGAACTTTGGGATCCTCTCCTAGTTTTTTGTGTGACCTTCAGCCAGGAGATGAATATTTGCTTCCTTAGGTAAGTTAGGTTGAGATAGGCTTTTCACCATGTTTTGCTGTCTAAAACATCCGCGCGCTTACTCTCCAGATGCTGCCGCAAATAACTTAGTGGACTCAACCTTTTGATTAATTCTTTAAAGAGAAAATCATCCCAGAACCGAGGAGTGTAAAATAACTACCATTGTCACTTGATGGGAGGCTCTCCCGACCTTGAACCTTAGTTTTTATAGGAATACTCCCGCGTAGAGTGTGAGATTTGTTTCCCTTTGATAAGTAACCAACTCCTATTGATACCCTCCGGCTTCTTTACAAGTGACCTGTAGCTTTTGTCTTTTCATTTTTAACCTTTTAAAAAGACAACCAAAATGGTTAGGCCTAAAATTACACCAGGACGAACTGAATTTTGGATCAAGGTTGTGCACGTCACTTTTTTCCCCTGCTGTGTTTGACTCTTCCGCTCTTATAAGTAGGCAGGATATTGAAATAAATGTACAAGAATTTGCTGTGGGGGTTTTGTTTTTTGTCAGGTTCTCCAGAAAGAATAGCATTAAATAAAAGTTAGATTGAGAGGAAGGCAGCGAATAGTAATTTTTTAAAAGCAGGTTAGAACATGTCAACTTTGCCAGAAGCCCTGTGGCATTTGTGAAACATTCTTGCTCGGCTGTCTGTGCCCCATTTCTTAAGTTGGTGTGTGCTTTTACACTCATAGTCTGCTTTTTTTTTTTTTTTTTTTTTTGAGAGAGGATCTCAAACCTCTTTTAAATCTTTCTAGAGATTAATTAGCCAGGAATACTGATTTACATTTATATGATGGAAATTGAATTTCTGTTGCTGATATGTTCTATATAGAGATTATAGATTTTTAAACAAATTTTCAGATTTTAGTGAGAGAGGTTGACCTAAGTCAGCATTTTACAGTTTCATTAAAAGTTTGTTGTTACCTTTCCCACTACTAGGCTCTAAAAAAAAGATTGCTTACTATTCACCTTAAGTACTGTTGTCCTTTAGTACTGTCAGGTTTCCTTAAGTTAATGAAATGTCCTGGCCTAAAGGATTAAGGTGTAGAACTATCCAGTATGAAAAAGTATGTTTAGGCCCGCTTCTGCCATTTTTTTCTCTTCCCTTCTTCGCCTGGTACTGAAAATTTAACCCAAGATGATAGGCAAGCATTCTACCACCCAGCTACAAACAACTCCAGCCCTCACATCTTATTTTGAGACAAAATCTTACTCAGTTGCCCAGGCAAGCCTAGAACTGGTGATCTTCCTGCCTCAGCCTCCCTAGTAGCTGGGATTACAGGCCAGCACCAGCAGGATAGTCTTTTTCTTTCCATAAGCAGATTTGTTTTTCTATTGAGGCTAGCTCATCAAATCATGCCCAGGCTGGACTCCCAACTCCTAGGCTCAAGAGAGCATCCTCCCTCGGTAGTTGGGATTACAGGTGTGCACCATTGTGCTGGGCAAACAGACATATTTTATTAAAGAATTCGTGGGTTTTTAAAATTTTTCTTGGAGTCTTAATTCAAGATTTACCATCATTCAGAGGGAGAATGAGATTCTTCTGGGGTAACATATATTAACACTGCAAACCCAAATTTAAAAAGTGATAGTTTTGGTTTTTTTGGGGGGGGGTCTTTTTGAGACAGGGTCTCCCTGTAGCCCCATCTGTCCTGGAACTCACTATGTAGATCAGGCTGGCCTTGAACTCACAGAGATCCACCTGCCTCTGCCTCCTGAGTGGTGGGACTAAAGGCGTGCACCACCACGCCCGGCCAAAGCAATAGTTTTTAATTGGTTGTGTCTTTAAAAGAGCAGGGGTTCCCATGTTTCTCTGATTGTCTTTTTGAAGCAGGATCTCCCTGTAGCCCCAGCTGTCCCGGAACTTACTCTGTAGACCAGGCTAGCCTTGAACTCACAGAGATCCGCCTGCCTCTGCCTTCCAAGTGCTGGGACTACAGGGGTGCTCCACCACGCCTGGCTTTTTCTCTGATTTTTATGATAGGTTTCCAAGTAGACATGGTTGACAATAGTTTATATTTCATTTCAGTTCCATATTTTGTTTTTTTTAATCTTATTTTTATTTTATGTGTGTGAGTGCATTGCCTGAATGTATGCAAATGCACCCATATCATGCAGTGCCTGCAGAGGTCAGAGGGTGCACCTGGATTCCCCTGAAACTGGGTCATGGATGGTTGCCACCTGCCATGCGGGTGCTGGAACTCGAACTCGGGCCCTCTTCAGGAACAGTCGGTGCTCTTAACCCTTGAGCCATCTATCCAGCCCCTCAAGTCTGTATTTTATTTTATTTTTTATTTTTTGAGACAGGGTCTCCCTGTAGCCCCAGCTGGCCTGGATTCGCTATGGAGACCAGGCTGGCCTTGAACTCACAAAGATCTGCCTGCCTCTGCCTTTGAGTGCTGGGACTCAGGAGACGTGCTTCAATTCTGTATTTTAAAAGGGGAAACTTAGAACTTGCTCTGGTAGCAAGGTTGGGGATTTAAAATGCTCAGTGGTAGAGCACTTCTTAGCAAGCACAAGGCCTTGGGTTCCGTCCTCAGCTCCGGAAAAAGAAAAGAAAGAACTTGCTCTGGTAGCTAAGGATAAACTTTCAATTATACCTTTCTAAAACTCAAGAACTTGTGTAAATAGCCAAGCATAAAATAAGTAGGTACTGTTAAAATTCTTCCTATCTTTAATCTGTCATTATTGATTATTACTATAACAATGTTCATTAGACATTTCTTTTGGCTTTCCAGATTTTCTGTTTTTTATTCAAACTGGACCATTTCGTCTTCAAATTCGTTTTTTTTTTTTTTTTTCCTTAAAAGTGCTTTTAGTTACAGAATTAACTAATTTTTGTCCAACAGAATGGTGTTACTTGTAAATTGTGCTTCTGAATTCTTCCTGTAGCCTTTATTTTTTAATTTATTAAGTGTACCACATGTGTGCAATGCCCGTGGTGGAAGAATTCTTCCTGTAGCCTTTATTTTTTAATTTATTAAGTGTACCACATGTGTTCAATGCCCGTGGTGGAAGTCAGAAGAGGGCATTGGATTCCCTGGAACTGGAGTTGCAGATGGTTGTTAGCTACCACGTGAATGCTGGGAACTGAACCAGAGTTTAGTAGCCAGTGCTCTTAACTGCAGAGCCATCTCTCCAGCACCGTAGCCTCTCTTTTTTAAACCACTATAGAAGCAGAGAGAAGGAAAAAAAAGAATGGCCCCAGTTGTAGTCAAGAAATAGTGTTTGCTTTTATCAGAATTGGGTTTCACTGTTTCATACACTGGTTTAGTAATAATTCTGAACATTTATTCAGCACACCAGAGTTCTTGGCTCTCCTGTGTGATGTAGTTAATTCCATGCATCACAGGTACTTAGGAGCTGGCGATCTGAGTTTGAATCTTGGCTCTTCTACTTGATCTTGGGCAAGATGTGTATTTCTTTATACTTTTATTGGATTTGTTTTTGACAGTTTATTACATGTATAAAGTACGTTATGATTACTGTATAACTCCACCCTGTAATCTCTAACCCTTACCATCTACCCCCTTCTCCCACCCTCCTTTTTTTTTTGAGACCCAATGAATTTAACCAGGATCGTCTGTGTGGCCATGGGTTTGGAGCTATCCACTGGAGCCTGATGGGCTCCTGAGTGGGTACAAAACAGTGACTGCCCCTCCCCAGAATCCATCAATAGCTAATTCATTAGGGAGGAGGAAGGTGTCTTCCCCCATCCCCTCCTGGCCTCTCCCTGATCCATCATTGACCGTTGATAGGCCCAGTCTAAGGTACCCTTTTTTTTTTTTTTTCGGTCTTTTTGAAACAGGGTCTTCCTGTAGCCCCAGCTGTCCACCATGGAGACCAGGATGGCCGCGAACTCACAGAGATCCGCCTGCCTCTGCCTCCCAAGTGCTGGGATTAAAGGCTTGCACCACCACGCCTGGCCTATTTTAAAAATATTTTATTTATTATTTTTATTTTATATTTATGAGTGTATTGCCTGCATGTAAGTGCACCTGCGTCATGTCCAGTACCCTGGAACTGGAGTTGCAGATGATTATGGCGTTAGCCACCGTGTGGGTGCTGGGAATTAACTGGGTCCTCTGCAAGAGCAGTTGGTGCTTTTAACTGCTGTGCCATCTCTCCAGCCCCCAAGATACCTGTTTTTTTCAAGACATACTACTATCTCCATCTTACGGGAAAGAATAGCAATGTGCCGGGCATGGTGGCACATGGCTTTAATCCCAGTACTTGGGAGGCACAGGGAGGTGGATCTCTGTGAGTTTGAGGCCAGCCTGGTCTACATGGCGAGTTCCAAGCCAGCTGGGGCTACAGGGAGGCCCGTCTCAAAAAGACCAAAAAAAAAAAAAATTAATAATAATAACAATGTAATGCCAGTTTCATAGGACTATTTAGGTCAATTGAGATAATGCATGTAAAGCTGCTATCAAGTGATGTACTTAAGTACTTAATAAA